GCTCGATACGGTTAGCCCCAAGCAGTGTCGACTCGCCTTCAGACTCAACGTCCGCTACCGCTTGGGCTCGAACGTGGAACTCAGAGACTCCCGAGTGTCATGCCACACCATATGCTCAGGATCCACACGCGTCCCTTTTTGCCGTGGAAGGTGAGGAAAATAGCCGCCGCAGTTCTACATTACCTCAACAACGCAGGCCGAAAGCAACCGATGGAAAAGCAACGGCGCTGCGGTGGCGGTGTTTGCGGCCGCGTGAGCATTAGCACATTTGCCCAATAGGACTGCTTAAGGTCTATACACTCTCGGATCGATGCCCGCCGTTTGGCGAGGCTTCGCCCGGAGCCCCTCTGCAGATGAGGATGAGCTGCAATTGGGATCTCCAGAGCTCTACTCCGTTCACTCACATCGCGTGAACTTTTACAAAGCAGCTGCGCAGGGCTCTCACGCAATCTGCTCATTCCGCTTTCCTTCTTGTCCTACCACCTGGGCCATCACGAAGACGACCGGCTCCGGGCCCTGGTAGTACTGGGGAGCCGCCTCTGCTGCAACCATCGGTGGCAAAGGCCCGTTGACGACACCCTGCCCAGAACCGTTTCGAAACTCTATTGCACAGCAGCAGCACCAGGTCACACACAAGAAGATGCATGGAACGCAACAGAGACAAATGCCAAGAGAACCCACCATGGCGGGTAGGCCATATGTCACCCCAATCTGTTTGATGACCTTCTTCGTGGTCTCTTCGATGACAATGAACACTGCGCCACCGAGGAACACGGCCGTGGACCAGCTCATTTCCCTGCATATTCTTGGCATCTGCATGGTTCCTAGATAGTGGCGACGATAGAAGAGCTGTAAGCTTGAGCCGCTGCGGCCATTGCGGTTGGGATTTCGAGCATGTTGCACGATTTCTGCTGCATCACATTGCCAAGCTGGGGACGCCTGAGCTCGCTGCATTCAGCGCCACATTTGCCCAAGACATGGCAAGCGAGGGAGCCGGATGAACACGTACTCTCGTTCATGAGATTTGTGGGCACGCTCATTGTCTTGGTGTGTTTGTGTGCATGCATGTATGGGGTGCGGGGCGAGAGTCACGCATGAAAGCACTGCGTGAGGTGTAGGCCCAGGAGTTGTTTGTCTTACTGACGATGCGACACATCCTCCGGATTCTGCATGCAGTAGTTCAGTGAGGGGCTGTATATTGTATATGATGTGCCATCACTTCAAGAGCCGGTCATGTGCATAGCACAGTTGGTCCGCAGCTGTGGAAAGCGCAGAACAGACGAGCAAACAACAAGAAACAAGCTGGACCAACACTTCAAGCAATGTATCTAGGACACGGGATCCAGGGACTTCAGAAGGGGTTTCTTCACGTGTCGCAAGGTTTTGGTGTTGATGGCTTGGGGTTTCCGACACAAACTTCAGGATAACTGGAACGAAAGGGCACAAAATAGGGTGTACTTCTGGATTCTGGTAAACTGGTGCTCAAGCTTTAGACGGGCTCATGCCTTCCACGCTTTCGCATGATTCATTCTGCCTGTGCCAGATGAATGTTGGATACGAGACAGCTGCCGCTTTCAATATGGAAAGTCTCGTGCTACTCTGCATCCACCGCCTCACCACATTGTATGTCTCTCCATAATGCCATGAGCACGTGCAATGTCATGGTTTCCTCAAGCTCGACAGTTGTGGGCTTGGTAAATCGATTGTAATTGAAGTCAGAGCACTTCCAGTTCTCCCACCCATGACTAAAAGCTTTCAGCAGAACTTAGGACCAAGAACGCTCTTAGGACCACCATCTTTTCGATCTCAGGATTCCTCTGGTGGGTCCTCGGCTACACTCTGCACGCTCAGAACTAGCTGACCACGCTCTTCGCATTCAACCCGCAAGTTCTTCAGCACGGCCCCTTTCCGCAGATCCAAGCCTCTGCGACGCGTATGCCTGGACTTCAAAGCCCATAGGAACCCGGCTTATGGTTTCGGGCTTACGATAACCACTGCGAGGGCTCTTCCCAAGCCTACCTGCGAGTTCTTATCTGTGACATTTTGGAGTGCAAAAGGCAATGTATATACATACCTATCACTCCCTATATATATATACACATACATACATACATACATACATACATACGTACATACATACATACACATCCTACGCTTACACGTACACATATACAAACAGTATATACATAAGCATATACTTATACATATGCATGTGCGCATGCATTTACGTATACATAAACACACGCATGCACATATCCATGTACATATACATATGCATGTACACATGCACGTACACCTGCCCACCCACCCACCCACCCACCCACCCATCCACCCATGCACCCACCCATCCACCCACCCAGCCACGCACCAAGCCACCCACGCACCCACCCACCCACCCACCGACCGACCTACCTGCCTACGCACGTACATCCGTACAAACATACATACATACATACATACATACATACACACACACACCCACATATGCGTACACATGTTAGACCGATCGCCACTATTCGGTAGCAGAATACTCAAAGCACAACTGTGCAGAAGTCTGCCACCTTAAGCCCCAAATTATGACCCCTAAACCCTGGAGCAAAGCCCTTTCACTATCCTATACAGTTGAAGCCCTGAAGGCCCTGAGCCAACTTTCACGCCTGGAGCCCAGGAAGCCAAGCCGACCACCAACGTCCACAAACACTCGTCGATCCCGGCCATGTTGAACACGGAGCACGACACCTGTAGAATGAGAAGGGGATTGAGGTGTCTACCCGAAAGTGTTCTTCCTTGTGCTCGGGATTTAGGTAAAGGCGTGTACATGGGGTTCTTAAAGATCTTTGGGTGCGGTTGCAGGTATATGGTGTAATAAGGATCCAGGAGCCCGACCTGCCACAAAGATCCTCAACTCCTAGAGTTCAGACCAACGCCGACACCACAAGCCCTGTTGCAACTAGGCCTGCTCCAAGCAACCCGCAAGAAAGCCGGTGGACCCAAGAGCCGCAAGCCTGGAATAAGCCTAAATCCCTAGCTGACCGACCTGAGACCAGCTCGCCGGAAATCGCATGCGCGGCCGGGAGGACCGGATTGGAGCTCACAGCATCTCCTTGCAGAAATCAGGGTTTAGGATTTAGGGCCATCGTTCAAAGTAGCAGTGGTGTCGGTAATGGTTATAGCAGTCGTCGTCGCCCAAGTAGCTGTAGATTCTGTTGTAGTTGCAATTGTTGTTGTTGTTGTTGCTGCTGCTGCAGCAGCTGCTGCTGCTGCTGCTGCTGCTGCTGGCGCTGGCGTTGGTGTTAGTGTTGGTGCTGGTGCTGTTGGTGTGGTTGTGGTTGGGGTTGGGGATGTTGTTGTTGCTGTTGTTGACGCCTCCTAACGTTTAGTAGTTTAATATACCGCTTACAATTGGGATTGGAAATCTTGCTACTACTTCACTCGTAGTCGTACGTCGTAGTCGTAGTAATAGTCGTCGTCGCGCCGTCGCCGTCGCCGGAACCGTCGTCGTCGTCGTGATAGTAGCAAGTAGAAGAAGAAGTAGTAGTAGTAGTAGTAGTAGTAGCAGCAGCAGCAGCAGCAGCCGTAGCAGTAGTAGTGGTAGAAGTAGTTGTAGCAGGAGAAGAAGGAAGTAGTTGTAGCAGTAGCAGTAGCAGTGGAAGTAGTCGTCGCGGTCATTGTCGTCGCAGTCGTAGTAGCTGTCGTCGTTGTCGTCGTCGTCGTAGTAGTAGTAGTAGTAGTAGCAGCAGCAGCAGGGAGACAAGAGGAGCCCTTCACCATCATCTTCGCATACTGTAAGGAAAGTCTCCTTGCAGCAGCTCCTTCATCTGCCACGCGTTCTCTAGCGCTTGCTTGGGGGCATCCCCTTGGCCGAACATTATGATGGCTGATCTGGCCGTGCTGGCCATGGAAGCTATCCGCTGCAACTCGTCCGAGCCGTATGCCCCGACGCTGCGCCCGCTGGTGCCAAAGCAACGTATGTAGATAAAGTCTGTACTTTCGACGTCTGCCTCAGTGGGGAAGCCATGCCAACCGGAAACCAGATCTCCAGCCCATCCCGTGTCGTTCGCGATATGGGAGCACACCAGGGTGAACCGGTGCCGGCGCATGAGCTCCCCGGCACGATGGCTTTCAAACCACGAGGAATCTCGGAACTCGAAGGCGTGACGAAGCTGCAGCCAGGAGCCTGTCCTGGGTTCTTGCTACGGAGCTTAGTTTCAAGTTTTTATAATGAGAAGGGAAGCATGTTCATCATTTGCTATATACCGGCATGATTGACCATGGTAACTTCAGTTGTCTAAGATTAAACTTCATAACCGGTCATAACCAAGACCTAGCATCTGGCTCTCTGATCGCAGAAGCGACCCTAGGGCTTCCAATCGCTCGCAAGTCTCCTCTGTGCAGGTGAAGGTGGCCGGAAGCTGCCAGAGCAGACCCACCAGAACCCCAGCATTCACCTGGAGCTATCTTGGAAGCAGGGGCCTCTAGTGAAGCCATCTCCTCTTACCGGGGTAGAAAAAAAGGCCCCAAAACAACACAGCACTCTCGTTGCGGAAATGCCAAGAAGTCGCGAAAGGCGCATACTTCAGGCGAAGCCACGGCCACCAGGTTGCTGGATCCCGTAGACCCACATCGTGCGTGGCATAGCCGGAGACTTTCACCACGATCTTCAGGCCGAGCTGCGAGTACTTCGTCGCCTGTCGGATGCCCAAGAGGAAGGAAGAGAACAGACAGCTTAATACTTAATTCGCAATCCGAGCTTGGAGTCTTTTTCTCTCTGTCTCCCTCTCTCCAGGGCACTCCAAGCTCAGCGGCTAAAACCTAACCCACCCCTGTAAGGTTTCGAACAGGATACACCCTAAAACCTTCGGGCTTACAGCTTGATCGTTCCCTCTTTTGTACTTACGGGCATGGGCACTCTCTGAGTGGACATGGCCCGACCTCTCTCAACCAAACAGGAGCTAAGACTCGTGCATGGACCCTAAACCAACCAAAGAGCACACGAATCGATGGGTGGTCGTGCGCTGCGACCGGAGACGCGAAAGCTCGAAATGTCCACAATTCATACGAACAATAGAGATATAAGTCTTACATCCAAACAAAGAACTGCGAGCATTGCTAGCAGTAACGTTGACAGCAGGGCTGACACTAGAACACTGCCAACAGGAAAAGCAGCAACATGTCCGATCCCCGTCGAAACCCCTAGCCCAAGCTTTAAAGGAATCTCCGTCTTCACGTGCGTGCGATAAAACCTATATCAGAGGGGAACTCTGCAAAGCGTTGCATATGGCGGTTTAAAGTAGGCTGCGAGTTCAGCACCTGGCTGTCGTAGGTCGTGCTGCCACGATCATGGAAAGTCGCGTTTAGCTCCACTGCGCCAAGACGGTCGGCATACTTGGGTGCTGCAGTTCCCATGAATCCACATGTGCCTTATCAGCGGTGGCTTCTCTTAACTTCAGCCCCAAAGCCTTTTCAGGTCCGACTTCCGGCTTCACGGTTGAAAAGGTCTGCCATTTTGGAGTTGACGCTTGGGGCCTTCAGGATTCAAGCGTGAGGTCTGCGAGCATCTTGAGCTGTATGACCGGCTGAACCCAAGAGTTCTAGAGGCCCTCCTACCAATTTTTGAGTCACGGTCCCCTCAGGGCCCTTAACACCAAAAGCCGGCAGCCCCAAACCCCTTTCTCCCAAAAGCTCTCCTTGAACACTGACATTGGCACTTCTTTGACTTGAGCTGGAGCGTCTTCATCTTCAGCGGTCTCAGGTTCTTCCTCCAGTTTGCCTAGGGTTCATCGTTGTGGACTGGCGAATTCGAACTTGCAAGCAAGCCTGAAAGAAGCCCTAACATGAATAGCAGAAGTGCAGACACAGCGGAAGCGGTAAGATAAACATAATGACGGAGCACATCAACATATACCAAAACATGACGGGACGATTCAACACACCCAAGAGTTGTTCCGAAACTCAGGAATCTACAACCTCACAGCAGGCTGAGCAACTCGTAAGTTCGAAGCCTAAAGTCCCAAAGTACAACCCCCCCCCCCAACCGCCGCTGAGCCTTAGCCCCTATCACCAAGCTCCTCTAGCCCGAGAGAAACTGAAACCGCAAACCGTGATCCACGCCTCAAGCCGTTAACCTGAAAGGCCTAAACCTCCAAGTCTGAATTATACATTAGACAGACAGGTAGATAGATAGACATATAGACAAACAGACACATAGATACACATTGGGTATCACATTTCGTGTATGTGTATATAATTAGGTCTGTTACGATAGATACATATTGGGTATCACATTTCGTGTATGTGTATACAATTAGGTCTGTTACATGTCATCCTTCTGGGCCCAAGAAGCCAACCAAAAGTTCCCCCAGGCCGGGGCGGCAGATTGATGTCGGAGCCGAGAGCATGTCCTTGTTTTAGGCGCAAGGGCTCAGGGCTTTAGGGTCAAGGGTTTAAGGCCTTAGGGTTTAGGGCTTAACGTTTCGACTCTCACTCTCGCACAACGCAGGCAAGGCTCCATATATACGGGTTAGGAAGTTTTGGCGCTCACACGCGGACAAGTCCAGGCACGTTTCGCAAACAAGTCAACGCAAGAAGGCAACATCGCCAGAAGTGCCGATTCGCCCGTCATATGCAGCTTCAGACAAGAAAGCTGCGGAGTTTAGGGTGAGCGGAGATGTTGGCTTCTACTGTTGCTTCTGCTCTTGCAGTTATAGTCTGGCTGCGGGGAAATGGAGTAAGGGCCGCGGAGTTGACCACGAAGGTTCACGCTGGGACGGTTTGAACACATGCACCGCACCGGGTGACTGCTGAAGCACGCGATAAGCTGTTTTGGGCTCGTGGCCCCTGTGAGTGGAATCTGCTGGTGTGCGGTCCTCGATAGATCAGCTACAAGTAGCTTGCAACTGAGCTTCCGCCACGTCCCAGCCCGCCTCCTCCCCGAAGGTCTCGCAGTTCGCTGCATCTGCCCAATCCATGGCGTCCTGCACAGGAAAGTGGAGACCGCATGTGATGGGTTTTCGCCGGCTCCACATGAAGGTTTAGGGAAGTTTAGGGCTGGGGTGCAGTCCCACAACTAGCTCACACGGTGTGAGGTTTCGGGCTACTGCTGTGATCTCTCTTGTCCTGATGCTGTGCCATCTGGGCCAGCAAGTACTCATCCTCGAAGCAGGCATGCTCCGTGGGAAGTCTCTCCAAGCCATACGCACAATTCTTTGGAATCAGGGTCTCTTTTGCGATCCTTGCTTATTGTAAGAATGAGTGACTCTAATGGGCACCTACAGAGGGAGCACGACCCACGTGGTCACTTTGAGGGCCCTTTAGACTGAGGATCTGCGAGAACAGGTGGGACGTTTTCCAAGCAAGTCCAGGAAGATCCAGTGGGGCTCACATGTAGTATGATGTAATATAATGTAACATAATATAATATAGAATGTAATATACTAAGATATATAATAAGATATCATGTAAGAATCTACTGTATATGATGTGGTAGTCAGATGCATGGTGCACCGCACATGGTAGCATGGGTTTAGGAGTCTTACGCCGAGGTCTATTCTCCAAGGCCGAGAAGGCCCTGAGTCCCTGAGTCCAATTCGCCTGCGGGTCCATAGCCCATACCCCCTATCTGCTCAACACCAACCGCCAACCCCAAAAGAGCACCCTAAACCCTAACTTGCCCTAAACACCCTAGAGCTCCAGAAATGGGCACTTGGACCACAAGGGCAAGACAGCGTCCTCACTCATACGCTCTATATACAATGATCCCTGCCCAAGGGCCCCTGCAACTCTAAGCCCGACATGATGACCTCTAAATAAGCCTGAACTCCTGAACCCCATATCATGATTTCTACACCCTATGCCCTAGAACTGATCCCCAAACCCTAACCCTTGTGTAAGAAAGGCCCTAGGGGCCGTGGAGAGGGGCTCGCCGATGAGCCGCGGGATCGAGGAAGGCTCCGTCAACTTCAGCTGGGCCTCGAGGATGAAAGGGGTTTGGGGTTTAGCTGTGTTTGGGTTCTAGTTTAAGTTTAGAGTTTAGTTTCGACTCGCAAACTCGCACAAGGTAGGCAGGGATTCGAGCAAGAGTCCCTCAACAACTAAACTAACAAACGAGATGGGTCTACGAGAAAGAGCTTGGGGTTTCAGCACTCACACTAAGACATGCCTGAGCGAGGTTCCTGGTACGACGCGGCACAGCACATTAGCTGCCAAAAACATTAACCCGGACTGCAGCAAAGGGCTTTAGGGGTCTTTGGGTTTGGGTGTTTGAACTCTCTTTGTTTTGCGGGTTTTGGCTTCTGGGTCTTTTTGCGACTCGGCATCGCCATTCAAAGCGTGCCGTCTGGAGTTTGAGGAGATGTTCTCCAGTGAGCTCAAGAGAAAACCAAGGGAGGCAATGCTGACAAAGTGCGGCTTCGGAACTTCGGCTAAGCCACAAATCAAGAGGCTGAGCCATACAGCCCGAAAACAAAACTCGGCAGTTATGTTTAAACTGTGTAAAACCACTATTAATATTAGTGTCGTTCTTATTAATACTGGGATCATTCTTATGCATTCTTATTAACACTACTCTTACTATGATTATGAGTATGGTGATGATGGTTATTGACACTATCGATATCATCCTGGTTTATCCTGCTCGTATGATTCTGGATAGTCTTCAGAAGCAGAGTATACAAACTGCAACTACTATTTAAATTGTTCTTGTGCAGTTGTTCTTATGTGTATGTGTATGTATATATATATATAGAACAACTCGAAAAGACTCGAAGCACTGCCTGTTTTAACTACAGTAGGGGCCAGCCTGAATTAGGGTTTAGGGCTCCAAAGGGCTCTTCTGTCCCACCTGCTCGCTCAGCCCAGAGCCCCAAAGCCTGAAAGGTGAAATCTCCAACACCAATTGCCGATGCCTTCTAACCCATGACAGAAAGCTCTCGAAGCCAACGCCAGATCCAATCGTCCTAACATGGACTGTGCTTGTTGCATCAGCCCAGCGGCCAGCAAGCCAGCGCCTGGTCTTGCAAACTTGACCCCTGTAAATAACCACTAGATCCGGCCAACTTGATTCCTACCGCTCTTTTCTCTTCGGGTCCGTACCGTCCTGTCAACCTCACATCGGGTGCACCTCGCAGTAACCAGTTTTTGTGCTGATGCTTGTTTGGCTAACGTTGCTACCGTTGGAGAGTCTTGATCCAAGGCCGCTTTTGATGCTTTGGGGCATCTCCTCCTCTCGAACGAGCTCGTGAGCTTCTAGTCTAGTGTCTATACTGCTCAGAGACTGATAGACTAACACGGCTCCTTCTGTCCCTGCGCTATCTCCAATCTCTCTAAATCCATTTTACACCCGTTCTTTTTAAGCTTTCTGGCTACACCCTGAACCCTTGAAAACCCTCAGCCCTTCACCCTCAAGCTTCAGCCTCAAGCAGAATCGAATCTGAATCCCAAAATTGCCATTGCGAATCCCCATCTATGAAAACCTTGACTGATGATGATTTCAGGTATGTTTCTTGATTCAATTAGTTGGAGTCACTGGCAGAACCCGAAGCCCCAGCCCGGGTAGGGGCGCCTTTGCTGCGCCAGACTTTCTTTCCCTTCTGCAGGCCCTTTACTGCCATCCGGCGCAATAGATTGAGGCAGGCCGTCCGGAGATAGCAGTCGTACTTCCCGGGATGCGGCTCTGTCGCTTCTTTGCTTTCGGTATGAGTGGGTCTAGCTCTCAAGCGCCTTCTCGTTCCTTTGAGTACTTGTTCGGTTTCGTAAAGGGACTGAAGGCTGACGTTTGGGGGCAATACGGGGTTTGTCGTACCCCATACAGGTTTAAGGTTGCTTACTCTACTACTAGGCTTCTCGTTCTCGCCTGATGCTTCCGAGAATTGAAGAACTGTGACGGAGTCAATGAAAACAAAGCATAAATGCTAGACAAGAGCGGTCATTATCGGCGGGCAGCGTCGTAATCACACACGACATCATACTCGTACTGGAGTACTGGAGCTACTGCTCTGGTGTTCTTCTCGGCTTGACGTTCAAGGCTTCGGAGAGCTTGAGCAAGCACTGATGGCCGGAATCGGCACCTTTCTCCCAGAGTCGCAAAGAAGCTCGGATTTGCGCGGAGTATCCAAGACTTGCAGGACCAATACCCTCTAAAGCTCGAACTCCTGATAAACTGTCGGGGAAATTCGACATAAAGCAGACCTGATTCAAGCCCTGTTAGAGGTCGCAAGTCACCCAGTTGAGTCGCAGTTCCAGCCAGACATTCACAAGAATGACAACTTCCAGCATGAGGCATTCTCACGAAGCTGAAGCTTGTTTGACCGACGGTGTCGATGGACAGCAAGAGAAGTGCCTATGCCTAATAGTTAAAACAATTCTACAACAAGCACCTTATAATTCCTACCACACCGGGTCTCAGCCATGTCATGTCGAGCCAATTATTTCTGTCGAGCTTGTGCGACCTGATCTGGAAAGCCACTGTGGGCTTGTCCGGCAAATTCCGCTTGCACAGTGGCAGCCGGAGCTATTAGTACTGCCTTATGGACATACGGGAAGATAAGGTACGGGGCTGCTCTTCACATCTCGCCCAGGCGTCGCAGTTTCAACCTGGCCAGAAACTCTCTGGCTGTCTTCTTGGGGGTCTATGTAGCACAGGCATCATGGCACAGCAATGCACAGCATGCAGAAGCGGACTGCTCCTCCGTTCATTCCCGAGACCCAAGATAGGGTTGAAACTATGAGTTTCTGAACCCTTAACAACCTCCCAAAGGTGCATTACTCCCAAAACCTAAGACAGACCCTAAAAGCCCCATCCGACATGTTGCCAAGGTCTGCGCGGCTTCTTGATGCGAGTCGCTCTCCAAGAATCCTGCGAAGCCAGACTGGCGCGAAAACAGGGATGACAACTGAAGACAAAAAGCTAACACCAGGTTGCTCTGCATGGTTTCGATTACTTGCATTAATTGTTGCTCGGATTAAAAAAAGTTTTTCCTGAAGCCTGGACTAGACGCCTGCTGTACCATCCGTCATCCTTGCAACAGGTTTCCGTGGCAGCCTTTTCTCCGAAGCTTCGTCTTGCACGAAGTCAGAGGCAGTTCATGGAATGCTCCCATGGATGCCAGGCCTTGCTTCAAACCAGGTCTAGCCTCCACCATACATCAAACAATTGAGCTATAAAAATTCCCGGCCTCGACTGTCAGACGACGGCCAGTAGGGAGACATTACAATAAGTCAAGTGTTTGTACAAGCATGGCTAGCATGCATCACAAGCTGTATGCAGTGCCGCATCTACCTACGGTTACACCTGTACTTGTCAAAGTTAAACGTGAACAGTCATCAGCATGTCGGGATTCTGCCCGGGAAGAGGGCCGGTAAATGGCGCAAAGAGCATCGGGCACTTGTCGCGCATCTGCTCGAAGGGGCAACCGCAATTACGGTGGCATTCGGCATTATACTGGCAGTTCTCATGGCACTCCATTGATTCCAGCAGCTCAGTCTGAAGTTTCGCATCCTCAGGCAGGGGACAGGCCTTGTGGCAATGACGATCCAGGCCACAATTGTCGTGGCACGTTTTCACCTGCATGACGTCAGCGCAGAACTCAGCCTTTGTGGCAGCATGCCTGTGGTGGTGCCCACCGTGATGGTGGAAGTGCTCCTGCACAGCGAACATAACATAACGCAGCAGAACATAATGGAATATGATGTCACAGAGTAGAATATGGAACAGAGAGGGGGGAATAGAAAATAACATAACGGAATGGAATAGCATGGCATAGGATGGTATGGGCCTTATGGGATAGGATGGGATAGAAAACAGCAGAACAAAGTCTTAAAAGGAACAGGAGAGAATACGGGGCGATGCCGTGCCATAGATATTTCGGTAACAAGCCCTGTTATTTGTGCTCAGCACTTAGAGTCGACTGGCCGAGGTAAACGACGGAATGAAGCACTCACTTAGAGTGTGCGAGCAAGCTAGGAGTGAGGTAGGGCCCCCAGTCATCAGAATAGGGTTGGGGGTATACGGTAGCATAAATGTTCATGATGGGGATTCATTTTGGATACTCTTAGGATCTGTCCAAGCCTCTAGCTACAGTGCATAGAAAACAGTCGTGAGCCAGGAACGGCTCTGACTCAGCTCCGGACATGAACGGACTCATGAAAAGCAAAACCTCGAGTGGCAGTGAGACACCCCGGTTGGCAGTGAGCGCCAGTGGTTGAGTTCTTGCCGAGAAGGTGGCGAAAGGTTTCTCCTATTGACGTGGTGCAGATGGCATGATATAATGATGCTACTCTGATGATGTGGATGTGCGGCTCTCTCTTAGGTTGTCGTAAGGCTGCATTGCATGGCATGGTGTGAAGTCGTCCAAAGGTTGGCAATTAGATTTCCGCGAAGTTGCATGGCCCCTACACAGCACCATGACCACACAGAAAGCTACAGTACATGTGGGCCTCCATGTTCAGCATCGGGCACAAC